GTTTGTGTTTCTCTTAAACACTTGCTATTTTGTCAAAAGGAAATAATGTACTTTTCAACACTTTTTCTTACAGGATCGAGTTACATTCAGAAGAATTATATTGAAAAACAATGCGAAGAAGAGGAAGACATTTGAATTATTTATTGAGTCTGTGCCTCTTCTTAAATCACTGGAGGTATAGTTGTGTTTTGTTAGCATTCACCTGAGTCTGCTGAGGTTCATGGTTTTTTTTTATTTGATGAGATTCTTGTAGGATCCTTGCTAGATAAATTTGAAATTGAAGTTAAAGTAACACCCGAGTAGTAGTACAATTTAATTGCTTTTACAGCAATTATGCAAAAAAAAAAATTCAAATCCTTCATTCGCCAGTGGAATTAAAAGTTGCTGATTTCATCTTGAATTCCCTATGTACCCTTCATCAAAGGAAAGGCATTTGGAAAACAAAGTTGTTTCAAGTAAGGAATGGGAGTTAAGGAGTCATGGGTCTCTTCCAGATAATGGTATTGATGTGCTGTTACTTTACACAGTGACAAAACGTCTCTTTGCCTCATCACAGGTGTACCTTTTAGGGGTGCTCTAAGATGTAATTTATGTTTGTAAAGCACTTTTAGCTCCTATCTGGAAGGTGCTAAAGAAGAGTGAAGTATTACGGTTAGATGTGGCTGGCAGTCTCTACTCAAGGACTGGAAGAAACATGGTGGACAGAATGGATGTGTATTAGCCAAGCTTATGAGAGAAGTAGAAAAGCAGCTTACTAGCATTTTTGGTGGCTTCTTACTTGGCAAATGGTGTTTATATTATATGTACCTCTGAGGTACAAATGCTCAAGATTAATGGATTTAAACCTCGCTCAACTATTGATGCATCATACTTGGTGTAGAATTATTCCTTTCTGTGCTGTTCTTGCCCCGATACGGACCCATCAGATTCTCTTTTGAGTGGCTAGATGGACAAGAAGCAATACGAGTTTTAATGGAAGATTAATCTCTTCAAACTATTGTCTCTACTTTGTACACAAAGACTTGGGCATACATATTTAGAACTTAAGAATGGTCATACTGGGTCAGACAAAGGTCCATCTAGCTCAGTATCCTGTCTGCTGACAGTGGCCAATGCCAGATGCCCCAGAGGGAGTGAACAGAGCAGGGAATCGTCAAGTGATCCCTCTCCTGTCCTCCATTTCCAGCCCCTGACAAACAGAGGCTCGGGACACCATTCCTGCCCATCCCGGCTAATAAGTATTGTTGGACCTACCCTCCATGAATGTATCTAGTTCTTTTTTTTGAACTCTGTAAAAGTCTGCTCTTAACAACATCCTCTGGCAAGGAGTTCTCCTGGTTGACTGTGTGGTGCATGATGAAAAACTTCCTTTTGTTTGTTTCAAACCTGCTGCCTATTCATTTCATTTGGGGGTCCATAGTTCTTACATTATGCAGGGTTACTCAATACACAGCACGTGGGCCGCATGTGGCCCGTAGCCCATTTGTTTGCAGCCCATGGTGCAGTTTAGGTTTACACGGGGTTCAACATGCGGCCTGCGGGTGGGATCCTTTCAACATGGCCTCCACTGGGAACACGCTCCACAACGGCGAGTCAATAGAGAATGGTCTTTGGTTGAGATGAGTTTTAGTAGTTACATTCCTAGACTGTCATTGCTCATTACAAGTGCTGTCATGGGGTGGAAATTGGGTCAATGTAGAATTGTATTAATATCAGCAGAACTGACTTCAATGGGGCCTGTGTGTTGTGTAGTCTTGCCTTAATCTTTGTATTCATGCCTGTCAGTGTGAAAGAAGCTATTTGCATATATTTGTATATATATTTGCATGTAAATTGAAGCCCTCAGAATGTGTTGTGAGTATCATTGTGGCCCCAGGGGCTTCCAAAGTTGAGTAGCCCTGTGTTATGGGAACAAGTAAATAACTTTTCCTTATTCACTTTCTCCACACCTGGCATGATTTTATAGACCTCTATCCTATCCCTCCTTAGTTTCCTCTTTTTTAGGCTGATAAGTCCCAGTCTTTTTAATCTCTCCTCATATGGCACCCATTCCAAACCCTAAACATTTTGTTGCCCTTTTCTGAACCTTCCAGTGCCAATATATCTTTTTTTTTGAGGTGAGATGACACAGTATTCTGTACACAGTATTCAAGATGTGGGCGTACCATGGATTTATGAAGGGGTGCAATAAGATATTCTTTGTCTTATTTTCTATCCCCTTTTTAATGAATCATTTGCTTTTTTGACTGCTGCTGCACTTTGAGTGGATGTTTTCAGAGAATGATCGACAGAGACTCCAAGATCGCTCTCTTTAGCAGTTATAGCTAAATTAGTCCCCATCATTTTGTATGTAGCGTTAGGATTATTTTTTCCAAAATGCATTACTTTGTATTTATCAACATTAAAATTCATTTGCCATTTTGCTGTCCAATCACCTCGTTTGTGAGATCCTTTTGAAGTTCTTTACAGTCTGCTTTGTTCTGAACTATCTCAAGCAGCTTAGTATCATTTACAAATGTTGTCCCCTCCCTGCTTTACCCCCTTTCTTCAGATCATTTATAAATAGGTTGAATAGGATTGGTCCCAGAGAGGGCCCTTGAGAGGGACACCACTAGTTACCTCTCTCCGTTCTGAAATCTGACCATTTTTTTTCTACCCTGTTTCCTGTCTTTTAACCAGTTATCAATCCATATAACTGTGGTCTAACTTTAACTTCTAATGTGCCATTGTTAAAACAACAGACCTTTTAAACTGTGACTAAATTAGCACACTGGCCTTTTTCCCCTTGCAACTTAGTCATAAGTACATGGGGTCAAATTCAGGTCTAAAATAAATAAGTTAAATTTGGTTTTCCGGCTGATCCTAGAAAAACCAGATACTCACTGTAAAGTGTATTGTGTGCTGCTCTCAAAGCATAGCATGTAATCTTTTTAATGTGGGATACAAGAATAGGAAAAGCCTGCTAAAAAAATTACTCCCGGGGGGTGAGGGAATGCATGTAGTCTGTAGCATTTAACCTATAAACTTTTGCTTATCAATTAATCAAGTAGACTATTACATCCCTATGAAGAACTAGGCAATACCTTCCTATTGCATACAAGAATGAATGTTGATGAACTATGTAACATTGAGATATTGCACATGGAAGTCAAAACCTTAAAGTACCTAATACAAGGTTTAACCCTTGCTCCTTGTGACACGGAGTCATTTCACTCATTCCCTGTTGTGCTGCATATCAGATTCAAACTTTGTGTCCTTTCTGTCTTTGCTCTTTGTCCTGTAATGCCTACCTACCTTCAGCTTAAGCCTGACCTCCTTCATATCCCTCTCTGTACTTCCCAGTGATGCCAATCTTGATACCCCTGTCTTCATCACCGTTCTCACTGCCTCTCTTTATAATGCCATCCCTGCATCAGTATGAGTCACCTTTTTCACTACCTTGAAATCACTTCTGCCATCTTTCCCCAAACCTTCAAGATGTGTATTTGCCTGACTGTGAATTGTTGTCTCTTCCTGTGCCTCTTGGCAGTTTTTAGTAAGGAAAACAGAATTAGGAAATATCATTGTCTATGTGTATAATGTGGCAAGGATGCTTCATTGGAAACATTTTACTTTCCGAATATTTTTCCTTTATTGGCCTTAAATTGCAGTAAGGGAGATTTAGATTGGACATTAGGAAAAACTTCCTACCTGTCGGGGTGGTTAAGCACTGGAAAACGTTGCCTAGGGAGGTTGTGGACTCTCCATCACTAGAGATATTTAAGAGCAGGTTGGACAGACACCTGCTAGGGATGATTTAGATAAAGGGTGGGCAAGAGGCTGCCCACTAAGCCACTAGATCTGGCCCATGGCCACCTTGATGGAACCCTTAGGGAGAGAACAGCTCATGATTTAAGCAGGCAGCTGCTCTCCACTCTGGACAGATGGGAGGGAGGAGGGAGTCTTTGCATGCTGCCCCCCATTTCCTCCTCCCCCGCCCCAGCAAAATCTCTCAGCTCCCATTGGCCAGTTTCTTGCTAGTAGGAACTGGGGGCAGGGGCAGCTTGAGAAGCCTCCCTCCCTTCCCCCTCCATGCTGGGAGTGGAACAGCCAACAACCTCAGACTGCAGCAGTCTGCCTCAGGTTTCTGCAGGGCTGCTAGCTGGGAGCTGCCTAGGTAAGCGCCTCCCAGACAGAGTCTGCCTCTGGCACCCCTTTGCTCTCTGACTACCTGCCCCAGGCCAGGACCCAAACAGTCTGTACCCCTTTTCCCTCTTCTTCCAGCTCACAACTCCCTCTCCGACCTTGTACCCCTTCCTAGACTCCTCCCCCAGGCCAGAATCCTCTCTTGTACCCATACCCCTCCCTGACCCTGCACCAGGTAACCACCCAAACCCTCTGCCTCGTTGCACCTGCTCCTAGAGCCCCTCCCCCAGGCCAGAAACCTCTCTTGCACCCTTTTACCCCCTTTCGGACTCCAAGCTCCTGCCCCAGATCACAGCCCACTCCTTCTCGGAGCCTCCATCCGAGACCCCATACCCCCTCCATAGAAGTGCAGCTCTTGACCACTTGCCAAAATCTTGAAGTGACCCGCCATTAAAAATTATTGCCCACCCTGATCTAGATGATGCTTGGTCCTTCTTGCGAGGGCAGGGAACTGGACTCGACCTTTCGAGGTCCCTCCCAGTTCTAGTGTTCTATGATTTGTGTATGCTTGTCTACTCTTTCCTAAACTTCTATTGTTATTTATTCAGTCCGATTGCCATATGAGTTTATAAAAAGAAGAAAAGAGAGTTAAGCAACCGACCATTTGTTGTTTTTTTTCCTGTAACACACTAACTCGGCTACCCCCTGAAGCTATTAAATTGAGAATGTGTCATGCTCAAATGTAGGAAAATTAGTTAATTTTTTCAGCACTCAAACATCTAAAGCAGTTTTATGCAGACTGATTAATAGGAAATTAAGACAAGGATTGAAAGATTAGAGTAGACATTGGAATTTATATTGAATTCTGTTCTTGAAAGTTGTGAAGGAATGTAGCAAAAACTTTCACTAAGCGTACATGTTTTTCAGTACTCAAAGACAAGTCTTTTATGAAACCTAAATATGCTTGTTGTTTTATAACAAATTGGGAAGGTTATGAGCCTCCAGGGCAGCTGTAGGCTGAATGAAATTTACTTTTCTCTCTGTTCCAGATTTCAGAGCGAATGAAGATAGTTGATGTAATAGGGGAGAAAGTGTATCGAGATGGGGAGCGCATCATTTCTCAGGTATTTAGACTTTGAATCCCCCCCTCTTTTTATATTTGTACAGAATCATAGATGTCAGTTTGGTTGTCTGGTATGACCTTGTTTACTGCAGTATTCATACCAACAGCATTTTATTGCTACTGTTGTTGTTTTTATTATTCAAAAGTTATACATGAAGTACAAAAACAATTACTCTTACTTGGGTTAGGAAAAAGCCTATGGATAGATCACCATTGATATAGGGTTCCATGTAGGTCTTCATCTTCCTGAATGTAGCAAAGAGGTCTCAGACACTCTCAACAAGCTTTTGAAATGCATAGTGTAGCCAGATGAAATGAGATGATAAATAGTAAAACTATCTCTGACAAATTTTACATCGGAGTCCTATCAAAATCTAAAACAATTCATCTGCAATAATTCAAATAAAACTTGAACTACCGTAGGCCTTCAGGAAATTAAATTGTATTGGGTCTCAACATTAAAAAAAAACATAACCAAGAATCCTTGATGATGTCTTCAGTATGTACTAATCTTAATTATTTTGAGTGACAGATAATTTTGAATCAGTGACGATTAATAATCAGACAAAGCCAATTAATTCCATACAAAAATCCATTTTGTTTTGCAAATTAAAAAGCCACCTGGTTGGGGGCCTGAGAAGTGAGTTCTGGCAAGCAGAGTCAAAAATAAAAAACCCACCCAGATTGAGATGTCAGGTCTGGGATCAAACGTAGTCATTGACACATTTATGCATAAATATCAGAAATAAGGAAATTGCCTAGGGGCAGATTTAGGTCTTGGTAAAGTCTTCTCTGCTAGGAGTCATGACAATGTCATGCACACCCTTTTACCAAATACTTTTACCTTTACAAATAATTTCCCATTGATGTGCTCATTCAGCTAACAGTAATGTCTTTAAAGCGTTTGAAAGCTGTTACCATTGTCTAGTTCTTAGTTGAAATCCTTGAATTTCCCACTCAGTTGTTTTTTAAAAGAGAGATGGTTTTTTCCATTATAGATGGGGTGCATTGATATATTAGTGTCTGAATAGCTTGCAAAATCATGTGAAATGGAATAGCTGGATTGACATTTGGACTCTCTGAATAATACCTAAGCAACCTTAGCTGAACACCTAACCTTCTGCAGTGTCAGACTCTAAAGGACCAAATCTTCTTCTGACCAGTATGTCACAGGTCACCAACACCATTCACTAAGAGTGCTAGTATCAGACCACAGAAAGAATCTCTATGGCCTCATGGATTGCTCGGTCTGCTTAGTGTCTGTTGTATTTGTATGATGTCAGCACAGGAGTGGGCAATAATATTTGACAGGGGGTCACTTCAGAAATTGTTTAAGTGGCCCTGTGCCACCCTGAAGGGGCGAGACCTCAGGCGGAAGGGGCAGGGCCAGGACACTTCTGTGTTTCTCCACCCACAGACCCTGATTGGTCTGGGAGTGGGGGAGCACACTATCTTTGCTGCTCCTCTCCTGCCTCTCCCCCCAAGAACCACCAGCTGTTCTGAACAGCTGGTAGTTCCCTCTAAGTATGCCTGCCTCTGGCAGTGGGAGGAGACTTTGCGTGCCCCCCCCTGCTGCCCCCAGGTCAATCAGGGCCTGGGGAGGGGGAGCACGTGATGTGTCTCGCTCCCTGCCCCCGCCCTGCAAGGGACTTTAAGTGCTGAGCCCCTTGCAGGGAGAGAGGAGACTTCACGTGCTCCCCCACTCCCAAGCCCTGATTGGCATGGGGGTAGGAGGAGCACGCAAAGTCTCCTCCCCCTGTCTGCAAGAAGTGTGCAGTGCTTAGAAGCGCCACACCCCTTGCAGGGTGGGAGGAGTCTTTGCAGGCTACCCCTCCCCCTGGCCCCCAGGCCCTGATTGGCCTGGGGGCAGGGGGAGTGGCAGGGCCTGCGGAGGCCCTTTTGCCCACCCCTGTGTCAGCATCCTGGACCAGGATCCCATTGTGCTAAGCACTGTAAAACTCAAACCAAAAAGTCCCCAGGGAACATACATGTGAAGCCTAAGATCAGAAACCTCAGATGCATGTAGACAGAGGTGAATACAGGTGAGCAAGACGTTGTCCGTGTCCTAGGCAGTGGCTTTTGGGACTTGCTCTGAAGTTGTGAGGAGAGGTGTCCTCCTCAGATGTGACAGAGGAGAGCCATACCATCACCACTTTTCCTAGGCTATTGTAAGCATGTCTTGCTTTGGCATTGGGCTGTGTGTGACTCTCCATTTTTTGGTTCAGGTCTCTTTGTAATGTGTTTATAAGCTGTGTTCCTGTCTCCTCTGATTCTGTCCTCTTTTCCTGGCCATTAAGGCACCTTCTGTCTGGTTTTCATATCAGTATATTTCCATGTATGCATTGCATACACTAAAACAGAAAGTAAGAACATAAAAAACAACGGAAGATCATTAAGTCTGCAAAATCAAGCACACTAAAGTTAGGAAATGCTAGAATTCTACAACTTTAATTCAGCCCCTGAATGTATGTGTTATGAGTTAATTATGTATTATGTCATGGGCAGGGCTGGACAAATGCACTCGCCCATGGCGAGTAGATTTTATGAGCTGGTGAACGCAGGGGCGGACCGCCCTGGTGGGCGGTTATGATGGGCTGGCCAAAGCCCGCGCTACGGGCAGTGCGGCCCCATCCGATCCGCCGGGAAGGTGCAGTGATTCTCAGCGCCGGGCTGCCTGTGTGCAGTTCCGGCGCGAGGAGGCAGGGCATGAGCCAGAGGGCGGGACGCCGGCAGATGCCAGCATGTTATGGCTCTGTTGATTTTAAAGGGCCGCGGCAGCTCGGCTCTGGCTGTGTGGCCCCGGGAGCTGGCTGCAGTGCAGCCAGGCCCCGCCCCGCCGGCTCCAGTCCTGCCGTGGCCCCAACCCCCTCATCGGTGAGAGACCGCTCCCGGCCAACCACCCAGCTCGCTGCACCCGCCCTGCACCCCTTTGTCTCTGCGCCGCCCGTTCCCCACGCCTCCCCTGCTCTCCCTCTTCCCTGCGACTCTCTGGCTCTGTGCCTCCCGTTCCCCGCGCCACCCCTGTATCCCACCCCCACTGTTCCCTGCACCCCTCTGGCTCTGTGCCTCCCGTTCCCCACGCCTCCCCTGCTCTCTCTTCCCTGCAACTCTGGCTCTGTGCCTCCCGTTCCCCGCGCCACCCCTGTATCCCACCCCCACTGTTCCCTGCACCCCTCTGGCTCTGTGCCTCCCGTTCCCCACGCCTCCCCTGCTCTCTCTTCCCTGCAACTCTGGCTCTGTGCCTCCCGTTCCCTGCGCCACCCCTGTATCCCACCCCCACTGTTCCCTGCACCCCTCTGGCTCTGTGCCTGTGCTGTCCCTGCACCCTGTTTCCCCTGTGGGTCTGGAGTGAGGGGTGCTTGTCGATAGGGAGGGGCTGGACAGGGCAGGGAAAAGGCTGCTATGACCCAGCAGGGAGTGAAAGGGGGAGTCCACTTGAAGTAGCCCATTGCAAAATGCAAATGTGTAAAAGTACAAGTGTGAAGATTTAGACAATTATTCAAATAGTAATAATATTTAGCACTTCTACAATGCTTTTCCTACCCTTTAGTACATTTCAGATCATTCATTCTTTAATTGATCCTCAATACCTTTCAAGCTAGGTATGTAAGAAATTGAGGCAAAATGAATAAAGGCAAAATTGTCAAAACACTGTGTACAGACTTGTATGCCAGCACTTGTAGAAAATTCCTATGGAATTGAATGGAAAATGATAATGCTTGTGTGTGTTTTTATCACCCTTTAGAATTCAGTAGAAAAATAAAGCTCTGATATGGAATTCTAAGACAATTTCATTCTCCTGAAATCAACAGAAAAATTCTATAGGGCTATTTTTATGCACATAATCATATTGCCTATTGTCTTTTGCTGTTGGCCTCTCCATTTGCTATCTCAAATAATTGGACTGCTTTACTATGAATTGTAATGTTGGCTCTTCTGAAGTGTTCTATACTTGCCCTCCTTTTTTATGTGACAGAGATTCTGTATATTCCTTTCTTTTACAGAACATACTTCTAGAACAGTTTTTCTTTTTGCTCCTCTAGTTATCACTCTGTTGCTTTTTTGTTTTCTTAGTACATGTGCATTCCTTGATGACTATTTACCTATTTAACGCCCCATCAGTTTTTTTCTTGGTATTTCACAAGTGTTTTTAAAACAGTCCTTGTGTGTGGGGGGGGGGGGGGGGGTGAGGGAGGGAGAGAGAGTGACTGACTGACCTCCAGCTACTGCTTAAGCCCAATTTAGGCCACTTCCTGTATTAATCAGTGCAGCAAATTTTCAATTTGTGCACAATTTAACACTAAACTCCGTATAGTGTGAATGTTTGAATATAATTTCTGCATCTTACAGTAGAATGGTAAATTTATTCTTAACTTTTCTCCTTATAGGGTGATAAAGCAGACAGCTTTTACATTGTAGAGTCTGGCGAAGTAAAAATCTTGATTAAAAGCAAGGTGAGTTCAAATTCATGTATGTGGTGAGAAGTCTAGTGCTACTGTGGTTTAGAAACGAAATGACTGGAAACTAAAAGTAGGGATAAATGGGCAATTTTCACTACAGACAGAGGGAATAGAGAGGAGTACAGTGATTCCATCCTAGAGCCAGTAATGGTTAATATATTTATTAATGCTCTAGGAAAAGGAGTGAACAGTGAGATGGAAAAAGCAGCAGGTGACACAGTTATGCAGGTGAATGAAGGCTACACAAGAGTGAAAAGTTGCAGCATGATAGCAGGTTACATGCACTGCTGTGAAATGCAAATCAACACTGAAAGGAGAAAAATTTACCCATTTCATGCTGTTGCTCTGTTCTAGAGTTAAAAAGGGCTTGGATATCATTGTAGACTTCCCTGCTCAGTATAAACTGGAGAGAGTTAAAAAGAAAAACACCCACTCAGAATAGGTGATCCAGGGGACGTTAACTGAAATTGAAGACATGCTAGTTTAAAACTGATTCATGGAGGTTTCTTGCATCTTTCTCTATATCATGTAGTACTGGATAGGGTTAGACAGGACAGTGGGCTAGATGAATGTAGATCAGATTGAAAATTCATGTTCTTAAGAAAAGGGCTGTGCTATACAACAGATAAACTCTGATAGTTTTAAGACCTCATAGTTGCTGTTTCCATTCAGGCAAGGCAGGCTATACATCTCCCCAAGTGGCTTCTAGCTATTTCAAAAACAATTCTGAAGATGACATGTCTGTGTAGAAAAACATGCTTTGCTCACATGTGCAGATTGCCACGATGTTCCCTTCCAAACTGTCTTCCCAAGCAGGCACTATAGTAGGCGACAGTCAACGGATGTTCAAAATACAGTATCTTTTAACCTTTGCCCTTCCCGTGACTTCTTTTAACTGGAGCCTTGCTTTCAAACAAATAGCCCTCCCAGTTTGGGCCAATCTTTATGGGATATGTTAGCCATGAAATCTTTGTTATGGGAATAGTTTGGAGACCCTTTGTGCAGGATACTGAGCCATTATGGAAGCATTTCTTTTCCACTTGTGATCTGTTCAGAGAGCGCTCTATGCATAGCACTGTGACTAATTAAAATAGTCACTTCATGTGGTGTTCTGTTTCTGGCACAGACAATGACAAGTAAGGATGCTAACCAAGAAGTGGAGATTGCCCGATGTCACAAAGGACAGTATTTTGGAGAGCTTGCCCTTGTTACCAACAAACCCAGAGCAGCCTCTGCCTATGCCGTTGGGGATGTCAAGTGTTTAGGTAAGTTCCTTTGGTAGCTCTATGCAGTAGGTGCCTTCCAGCAGTGGCCAGTCACTTCATGTTGTTTATGCTGTTCCATTCAGTTGTACAGCCAGGTAGAGCCCAACTGGCAGCCAAACTGGATTGGTTATTCTGCAGTTAAGGCCAGAGTCAGATCTGCAAGGGACCTTCAGCATTTCAGTCTGGGAACCATCGTTTCCTTCATCTTGCTTTTCTTTGTGCCATCTGAGTTTTGACTGGGGGTGGCGTAAGTGTCCAATTGTTTCTGTTACATGTGTGGCCTCTCTCATTCCAGAAAAGGGAAGTCATAAACAGAGAGGAGTGTGTATTTGCAGCATGGTGGCATAAAAGCACAACCTCCATTCAGCTTGATGTCCTGCCCTTGAAAGCTTTGACTGGGGGTGACGTAAGCTGTTTGCTGCACATGACTGGTAGATTTTTCAGTCATGCTTATATTACAGCTGTATGTTTTTGCATTTGGTTTCTGGGTTAATCCCAGAACGAGACACATTTTTTATTCGTCTCATGGCTCAGCATGATAGGTTTGTAAAACCAGAAGATTTCAGTGGGAGTGGCTTCTGCTAAACATCAGAACCATGTTGGCTGGACGCAAGTTACATGAGTTTACAGAGTAATTGGGGATTGGATTATTGCTTTATTTTGGAGGGTGACTCTTTATATGTTTTCTCTCTTCTGTTTGTTTCTGTGTAGTCATGGATGTGCAAGCATTTGAGAGGCTGCTTGGCCCCTGTATGGACATTATGAAGAGGAATATAACACATTATGAGGAGCAGCTGGTGGCAATGTTTGGTTCAAGCATGGACCTGGTGGATCCAGGGAATTAGGCACAGGGTACCTTAGTGCCTTCTCGATTCAAGACACAGAGGAGCCTCCTGTCAGCAACACAACACATAAGGAAAAATGGACACTACAGAACAGTTACTGCTGCTGTCTTCTTGGGCATTTTAGAAACCATAAATAAGTCTCAGCACAGATGGATGGGGAGAGGCTCACTCCATGCCTCCACTTTGCTGCTGAAATTTCATTATTAGGCTTAGCTTAAAGATGATTCTAACCCGTCTCTCACTTGTTTGGCTCAGAACGGCATGTCTCTCCAACAATTTAAGTGCCTGATGTGAAACCCAAAGTGTAAAAGATACAGAACCTTCTTTTTCTTTCTTTTTTTATTGTTGTTGTGGTAAATCTTCAGAGCAGAGCTGTAATGGTAGGCTACTTATCTTCCTCCAGGGAGCAGCCTTCTCTTTACAGTCTCTTAATATCTTCCTTTGACACATTCTTGACAGAAGGTCAAAAATGTAATTGTAGCATTTGGGTTTGCCATCGAATATATCAAGGGGACTTGAAATTATCAGAGCCATTGAATAAGTTGGCACTGAGGTGTTCCTGCCATCTGCTGAAAGCTGCGGGTACTGCAGTTGTGTAATAAAACTGTAAACAAAGTGGGAGCACAAGAAATAACTGCTCCATACTGAAATGTTGAAAACGAAGAATGACTTTTGAACATTTTCTGAGCAGCAAAGAGATTGTTTTATGCTACCAAACATATGCAGAGAGTTTGATAATGGTTCAACAGCTCCAGCAGCCTGATGGTGCCATAGCTGTATCATCCCCTTAAACTTGCTCTCCATTTCTTAAACTGGGCAGATTTTACTGCTGAGATGTTGCAGCACACGACCCTCTCCTGATTAGACATCCTTTAAACTTCTAGATTTCACAGGGTATTGCTGTTGGCTAGATCAGTTTTAACATTCTCTTTTTAAGGAGATAAAATTTTTTGTAATTCAAAGGAACAATATTTATGTATTTAAGCAGCACCCCTCAATTCCAATATTTTGTAATATCCTTTAACTTGATTAGACACTTAAATACTTCCAAATGCCAAGGCCATTGCTAAATCTTTCAAAAATTAGCAACATTTGACTTCATGAAGCAAACACCTATGCTAACTTGGCAGTTGGTGTGTTTGGAGTGGTCTTTTGTTTAGGGAATAATTCAATTAAAGATATTTATCTGTCAAATCTGCAGCATTTATTAGGGAGAACTATTTCTATTGATCTTAAGGCATAGCCTGTAGAGATTTTATCAGAGAGTATTATCTGAGACTCAGACTTTAAGGGGGATGACAACCCTTTTTATGACATAAAATTAAATATTTATATAAAGAAAAGGCATTAAGAATTTGTAGGCTGTAAGTCTAATGGTCCCCTTTCCATTTTCAGTCTTCTAAATATATGTGAAACTTGCCACACATTTCTGGGGTGAAGACTCTGATGGGTAGAATCAAGCCCACTATTTAAATGTTATGATGCTTAAGCAAGGAGAGAGAGAGAGAGAGAGAGAGAATACTACATCGCTGGATTCCTGCTAGTTAGCATTCTAGAAATCTTCTCTAACAAGGTGGAAGGTGTAGAGCTACAAAACTGAATTGGCTTCTAGACTGTAATATTTTACTAACCAGCTGCAAATCCTATCTCCTCCCAGCTCCTGCACCATTCTGTATAGAAGGATCTGTATCAGGCTGAGTCTATATTGATGTTTTCTAGTAACGGCAGATTGCATCATGCTTTGAGATGATGGACTGGTTTGTAAGGAATCCCACTGATCAAACTGTGCCACAATGTTATAGCCCTGACACAGTTATATAGTTGCTCTTCTTACTGCCTCCATTCCTAGCACAATGTGTTTTCTCTATTTTAGAGTAAGTTTTGAAAGGCCAAAAAAGCAGCAGGAACTGGAATTTCATTCATGCTTCTGAAGTTTAACACCAAAGACAGTCAGTAGTTTTTTTTAATTGTAGAACTTTAAAAAATAATTGTCAGGCCTTCATGCTGGTAACTGAGACATTAGGATTCAAAAGTAGACTTAGACTCCCAAGCCAGTCCAGGTAACCCAGACACAAGCTGGTCTCCAAACCCATCTGAGTGTTTTTGTTGTTGTGGGGTGGGTTGGTTTGTTTTGTGGTTTTTTTGCCGGGGAGGGGGGGGGGGTTGTTTTTTGGGTTTTTTTTTTTTGTTGGCACAGGTTAAGCTGTCACGTGAACTAAAGAAGATCTCTCTGAATAAATATCCTCAGCCAGTTTTGGTCCTTCCTATTTGAACACTTCCTCAGATGGCCCTCCCTTGTATCCACTGGAGTGTAGCATTTTTGGCTATACAACTTTGTCCTCTGAATATAAGGCTCTGTGCCTCAGAATATGCAAACCTTGTAAAACTGAACTGAATCTCCTAGCCAAAAGGAAGCAAGGTCTCTGGGTACCTTTGTTAAGGTTTAAAGGAAACTCTGCATGGAATGATTTTAATAGGTATAGAAGGCAGGAGAAGGAGATTGAGACAGGAGTAGATGGAGGGAACATGAGGCCATGGACTCAGAAAGCTAAAGGTCCCACGCAGGGAGAATAAGTTATAAAATGTTACTAATCTCTCTGCTCCCTGCACACAGTAGAGTGGCATTATCACACACAGCATGTCACCCCCAATGTCTGATGGGACATTGTGGTATTATGCAAGTGATCAACTTAATTATTTGAGCAGAGAGTATGAACCTTTAAGGGCAGGTGGTGAGGGGATCATCAGCTTAAAGGGCATCATTTGGGATTTGTGTGGCTGGTCTGGTTTGTTTTCACCAAAGTGCTTTGTAGTTTTTTGGGGACAGTAAGATAGAGAGAAGTGACCCATGGAATGTAACTAGCACCTTTGGCTAGCCATCTAGAGCATAAATAAAGGACAAAAAGTGCTTGAAAGTAGTGAGAGAGAACAGACTTTGAGACATTGGCTAATAGTGATTTGGCTGCATCGCCACATCCCTGTCTTTCTGCAGCCACTGTTGACTTTTTAATCACTTTGTTTTAACGTCTCTAATAGATGTGAGTTTCTCTCTTGGTATTGCTCTGTCTTCAGTAAATCTGCCATGGATTCTCAGCATTTGGTAGTGGAGAGAGCACTAGTTTAATAAAAGAACTCAGCAGCAAAGTGGGTAAGAGGATGGTGTACCTGAGATTTAGAGAAATATCTGTCGTATTTCCGATTCTCTGCTTGTGATTGTTGTGAAGTCAATGAGAGGAGCTTTCAGTGGTCAAGTGTCCTGGCATACGGCATTTCTGTTTAACGTCAAAGCACAGGTTTCACAATGTACAAAAAAAGCTGTCTCTTAACAAAACAGAAACAAAGTGCAGTATTGCAGAGAAGAAAAAGAAAACCCCCTTTGAATGTCACATTCTCTTTTCTTTTCAGTTAGCTGATGTTGGGACTCTAGATCTTAACATGTATTTGTAAACCAGTCTTGCCAAAATACAAATGTTTTGGGTTTTTTCACTTCAGTTACCTTTTGTTCTTATTATAATTACTTCTTTTCAGTTGCTTCAACCATATGCTTTATTTCCAGAGGCCTTCCTTGTAGTTTCTCTCTTTACAGGCTATAGTGTTACATCAGTATTTAAAGATGCAAAAGAAAGCCACTAAGCTCATAAGAGAATTACTGAAATCCACTTAGCCTGGCTGGAGCTAAAGATGTGCTACCAATGTTTTCCTCCACTCAGAAAAAATTAAATTCTGCATAAAGATGCTACCTCAAGGCTCCAAGTGCTTAAAGGTCTTTCGCCCAGGAGAGTTCCATAAATCAGTTCTGCAAATTGGTCTGTTGTATAGAATTAAATGTATTTTATCGATTCATTGGGAGGCCCATATTTTAACTCATTTTACCACTAGAATTTGATTCTTAAAGGATGAATGATTGCATAGATTGATTCTTGCACTATAATTTTGACAGTGGAAAAATAATACCTGCCATATAAGCTTATGGTTTTAAAAAATATACCATTCTGGGGTTCAGCTTCACTTTTGGTTAATAAAATGCTGACATGTCGTGTCCAGCCTTCCTGGTACAATCCTCTGTGTGTGTTTTAACTTACTCCAGATGAGTATTTATGGATCTAGTGACAAAGGAGCAAGCTAAATTACTAGTATGACTGCTGGAGGTACTGTGGTAAAGTTAGTATTGTCAGTGGTCTGCTGAAAATGGTTTTGTCGTCTTGACACAGTAAAACCAGTTATAAAATTCCCCAACCACAGAATTTTACTATTTGGTGAGAGGACCCAACTGAAGCATTAAGATTACACCTTTGTGCATATTCTTGCTATGGATAAAACCAGCTCCCTGCTATTGTTGCTACAATACATAGTAAAATGGTGCAATTGGCTTTCTGACATCATTTGAGCACTGCTGGTGTATCAAGAACAGTGCAGAACACAGATTCGTAAAACAAAACTAGTCTTAGGGTGAGATCATTTCTAAAGTTACCTGCCCTGCATTTGTGGCTGACATGTGAAAGTCAGCTGGTGTGCCCCAGTGAGGAGCACCAGGAAGAGCATGGTGGGCTGCAGGCAGGGTTTCGGATGCTGCGGGTCTTTTAGAGGTTATAAATGAGAAAGCTAAGCCAGAGAGGGCAGGCACTACAAATGCAGTAGGCCCAGTGATGCAAATATTACTCTCATTATAATTCCCATTATCATTAGGCTGTCTATGTGATCTATTATCTGAACTTCCCTGTAAAGGAGGCACTTCCTATCCAATTAATATAGAGCTCTGCTGTGACCTATTTTCACAGAGGCCGCCTTCTTCTAAAAGCACTTCTGATTTTTTTTTTCTGCTGTATTTACCACCTATCTCAGGCCTTCCCAACAGCCTGAAGCTGATGTGCAGGCACTGCTGGCCATCTAGAAAGAGGAGTGTCTGCCAGTCTCGCAACAGGAATATGTGCTATTGGGAAGAAGTGAGTTGTGCCCACAAAAGCTCGTAATACTATCCACATGTTTTGATAGTCTTTAAGGTGCTGTACGACACCTGGTTGTTTTTTACATTTTTGTGATGTTAGAGTCTGCTGGGTGACACTGGCAGTGCTAAAGTATGGAGAAACGGTCAATGGTACCAGACTGCTACCATGCACAGAACCTAACCTTTGTTACTGTATGGGATGGGATCCTTCACAATCAGAGACTGAGCCACAGCCCAGAGCTGGCTTTGTGTCAATGTAGGATGAAAGTCATGGAGCTTAATGCTCGCAGTGTTCAAGTTGCCTGTGGTTTGACACAGCTGCTGATGCTACAGTGCTGATAGAGTCAGCAGCGGGTCAATGCTGTAGCCCGAACCGGCGTTAGATCAGTCCTGGCAATGGGCTCCGTGGTGCGGGGTAACCCCTCCCCCCCTCGTGCTCCCGGGCGTTCCCTCAGCCCCCAGCCCTGCACTGTG